TGTCAAACCCACCACAGAAACCCCTCCCCTCTACCTATCTATGGTTTTTGAGATAATTTGCTAATCAGCTTTACATGGCTAATGAACATGTCTATGACCAATAAAAAGAACATATTCTCCTCTACATAAATCTTACAACTCATTATTTAGTTTCTTCATGTTGTAAACTGTTAGTCCAAGGAATTAATCTATTTATTGCTTAATTAGAAAGTCAGTTAAATTACAGTAGTTTTGGGGTATTATATTGTAGTTACTGATATATTTTGTGTGTTCCAAAATCCATATATGAAAGCTACATTAACCTTCTTTCTTTTTTTGGACACCAAAATCTGCAAGACTCGAGGAAAGAATTTTGGAAGAATGTCTAAAATATTTACTTGAGTGCAAAATAGCTAGAGAATCCAGCAAATACAGCAAACCATTGTTTGTGTGAATATATTTTAACTAAAGTGCTTAAAATACAAAAATTAGAAACTTCCCAGGTTAGCCTAACAAAATTCAGTGAAATATCTAAACTTTCATGAGCTAAAGAACCCTCTGAAACATTATACTCAGCAGTCATGCAGTGTTTACATTAGCTGTACATGAAACAACTAATGGGTTTCCTCTGTGATTTATTACTTTTGATGTGAGGATTACTGCTCTAGTGAGTATAAAGTACAGTAATTAAAACATTAAATGAAAAGGAGACAGATGTGAAAAAATTTGTGATATTTATTTAAAAAGTTATAGAGGTTAGGCAAAAGATATATGAAAATTGTAAATGAAAAAAACATTTTTATTCTTAGCATGATAATTGCCTTACTCAAACTGATTCAGTAAAAGCTTTGCAAATTCACAGACTGTAAAATGAAAGGCATTTTCATTGGTAGCATGAAAATCACTTTACGCAAACTCAGTAAAAGCTTTAGAAATTAACAGACAAATATTTAGTACAAATACTTCACTAGAAATCAGATTTTTTGTGCCCATCAGACTTGTAATGTTTAATAAAAGTTTGACAAATTCTGTGAAAACACACATAGTAAATTCAGAAATATGATAAACACTAATATGTAAACTGTATGTAGTATGTACAACATAACATATATGAGGTCAATCAGTTTGACTGAGACTGTGAACAGAAGGTTAATTAAAAAATACCACTGCTCTTCACAAAGCTCTTGTAGGTCATTAGTGTTGTCCATCCATAAGCAGTGTTGTCACTACTCAAATGGTCATCATTACTGCTTCTGCAATGCCTTTGCACAGTGTCCAGGATCTTGGTGTTAAATGAATGGACATGCTCTCACCAACTAGTATGATAATTTGTTGTATTGTGCTTCTGAATTGGATAATATTGCACAACAAAATTATACTCTTGCTGTGCTGTTATTCATCAGTTATTTCAATAATAAATGATTCCTTAATTAGTGAACTCCCAACCATTATGTAGTTGTTGTAATGTCTGACAAATACTGCAAGCTGATAGTTTTATTATATAGTGTCAATGTTCAGAAACTGTTGACATACTGTATGACTTGCATATGCATTTACAAACACTATGCCAGTATTGGTTATAATTGGTTATAATGTTTAACATATTTAATTTCATCATTTGAAATTTTAATTTCCTTTATTATTATTACAGAGATTGTTTTGTATTGTTAACTTAATATGTATCTAATACTAACTTAAATCTTCTAAGCTAGATGAACCTCATGATATTAAATGGTTTACAGCCAAAAATATTGTTAACAGCTTGGATACCCAACAGATGAAACAATGTATTCTAATCTTCACAAGTAAGAACATAAGTATTCTTAATTAGCTAAACTCATTACGAGGTTGATTTTTAGTTTCACTCTAGAGATGCAGCTTATTCTGAATGGAAGTCCATATTAATCCTGTATATGTAGCAATAGCTCTCAAATCCTTCTATCACTGGAATCAGGGATGAATAGACAATGTTGGCAAGGATAAGCCAATACCATTGCTTCTTCCAAAGCACATTTTGAGAATTAGAATACTTAATCACATTTATTCATCTGCCAAAAACAAGTATTCAACTTAGTAGAGCTAGACAATTAACTCGAGTGTTCAATACAATTAATTACCTATGATCACCAATTATGTCATTTAGTGTCTCATAATTGACTAATCAAATTCATGTCACCAAAACAATCAACTAACAGAAATAAGTTTTACTGATTATTCTGTCTTTCCAAGTAATCAAAATATTGCCATCAGGATTTACCATTATTATTTTCAATTAATTCATGACTGTTCAGCTAACTTGATTAGTGTCACAACTAACACAAACAATCAAGTAAAATTAATTTTTCTTATTATTTCTATTTTTGATTATTCCAACTATCCAAGTCTCAAACAAAAAGAAAATATTTTATTGAATGTAACTGATTAATGAGTCTGACAAGTAATCAGTTATCAAATTCCACTAATCACCCAGTTCTACATCTTATCCAAAGCAGACAGTGAAGCAGCTAACTTCAAAATACTGGACATAAACCATCAATAGTGAGATAAAAAAAAAACTGTGGTCTCCTCATTTAGTATCATGCTGGGGTCATTTGCCCAGTGAAACCTTCATAATCATAAGGTCAATGAAAATTCCACAAGTGTTCCATTAATGCACGCTCCTCTGGTTTCATTTTGAAATCCGAAGTTCTGATACAATGAAACACCACTCTTAGGTTATCATAAATGGCTTTAAACCTATGATCTAAAATTAAAGCATCATCCATATAGAGGAGATATCTTTCCCACTGCAGTCTTGATAGTAGTAGGTGCACTGCACAGATAGAATGGCAATTTTGGGACTATTTTAATTGTCCACTTTGATTTACCAGTAGCTGGAAGCCAGCTCTAGCATAATGACAATGGGCAGTTTTTGCAACATCCAGACATTTGCCTATTCAGGAAAAAGGAAAGTCACTGAAATGTGTTGACACCTCTACTTGTCTAAAGTTCACACAGAACCTTCAAATTTCCTCCTCCTTCCTTAGAGTAACTACTGGAGATGACCATGCACTCTCTGAAGATTTATTATTCCACACTTCTAGATATGCTTGATTTTTGTATTGACAACATCTTTGATGCTCCAAGGAGAACAGAGAGGCAATTCTTTTATCATACACTTGTGCCTATAACATATGTTACTGTTGCCTTAAATAACTAGCCACCTAGCCCTACAAATTCCATGAGTAATTCACTAAGTTCCTGTCTGCACTGAGTTCAGATTGCTTTCTCAATTCTTTAAGTTACCTCAATTACCCAGAAAACTATGGCTGGTCTATATTACTTTGTCTCCAATGTTATCTATTGGACTACAGCTTCATAGGTTCCACTGCCATAACTAAGTCACCCATGCAGGAGTAGGCTAAAGAAGACACTTAAGAATGGGAGCAGCAGTGCCTCACATACAGCAAAGTTGGGTAAGGGTCAAGTTGCTCCAGTGTCCACTATTAACCATAAATCATCATAGGCATATCCCACGTAATGCCAAATCTATGATTCTTTAAACCAAATACTATACCTTTAGTTGTTGCAATCATTTCTTGCCATTGATTCAACAACTTTCGATGAGGCACTGGCTGGAACAGAACCTTTCCATATGCTGTTCCTACCTCAAAACAAGATATAGACAATCTTGCACCTATTGATCTACTAAGTCACAGTTAAAACAGGGCTCCATCCCTTCCACTCTAGGTATCTTCTTGAGCCTACCCCTGCTGCATAGGTAGTTCAGCCCTGACAACTGAACCTATGAAGCAATAGCCTCATAGGAAACCATGAAGGCTACATCATAATGCTTTCCAAAACATGTGATTGTGAAGATGTCAGTCAATGCTTTGGTCAAGACTTAAGAGCCATCATAGACCTTTGAGGTGGCATCAGTGCTGAATCAGCCAATTCTGTTGGTTTTTCTTCTGCTTCAGCATCTGGTTCAACGTGACTACCTTGGTTCTATTAACATGATTTTGAATTTAAGACAAAAATATTATTGTAACTTTATTTAAGGTTATGTTATGATAAGAGCTTATACAGAGTACTTCTGCACTGTTTCAATTCCTTTACTACAAAAGGATATTAACATGTTCGAAAGATTCTACTGACAGGCTAATAACAGTTATTTGTTCCTGAACAACTATCCTTGACAAAAAAAAAAAGTAAATATAAATTCAGCCTTTGTTTTTCAGGAATATATTGATTCCTTTTAAACTTACGTAAGATGCCAAACTCCACTACTACTGATCACAAACAATATACAAACCTGCCTTAACTGGAGCCCAGCCTGTCTTTTCCAAAACTTGTGTTCTCTCACCCTATTCCTACTGTCATCAGAATTCAGCAAATAGAAATCAAAGGTCACTACATCATATGATATACCAGTATATGTACAGTTCTGCACATTTCTCAGAATTTTCAGTGCTACTGTGGATACTAAATAATTAAAATGCAAATTTAAAATTTATTTGTTTGTTGATAAGCTCAAAGCTGCACAGTGCCTACCACAGGTATTAAAACCTGATTTTTAGCATTATAAACATAAGTCCACAAACTTACTGCTGAGCTACTGGGAGACATTTAAAATTTATTCCCTTTTAATGTTACATCAGTTAAACTTTTGACAGCAACAATCAATAATCATGTCTAGCATCACCACAACTACAGTACTAGTACTAATAGTAATAACATTAACAGGTGGTAATTCGAAACGGTACGCGCTACTGTTGTTACTAAGATCAATTTCTTCTGTTCTTCTAGTTGTCTTAAGTCCTACATATATACAGGTTGTATGCTATAGACACCAGTAACCTGAAATGCTGAATAAATATCACTTTATCTTAGTTACCTTACGTCCTACATATACATAACTTGTATGCTATAGAAACAATTAACCTGAATAGCTGCTTCTGCGTTCTATACACGCTTTAGTTGTGGAAAAAATTAGACCTCCGGCATAAGTATAAGCTATAGTATAAGTATAACCAACATACCTGCTGGGCAACAGGCTCCAAAATACTTTCGATTGTCTTGGTATGGAAAACCGGCATTTTTGGTTATTGTAGTAAATATATATTTTTTGCGTGGCAAAATAACTTTAATAAACTACTTATTTCAATATTTTATTTTAAATGATAGTGTTTTATTCAAATCCCAGATTCCGTGTTCTACAAATTACAATTCAATAGCTGGGTTTGGCCAGATGCGATGATCATCACAGAGTCAACACTGCCCTCTTTGGGTAAAATGTTACATATAAATAAAACAGGCAGACTACATTCTTCAAATAAAAATCATTATTAAATGTTCTTTAGACTTAACTATAACAATCCTTGTCTTCAAAATATTTATCAAGATTTCCGTTAAACTCCCTTCAATTAATTTCACGTACGACATTTGAAGTCAACCCGTTCCAAAGGCTACCCACCCTGTTAGAAAAATAAGGCTACCTTAGCTAAAGATAACTCCTATCCTTCCGAAATTTATAAATTTGTCTCCCAGTCTTTCAATTTTCGTCATTAAAGACGAAAAAGATGAGACGCCAATACTTTCAATTCCCTTAACAATCTTAAACACCTGAATTAAATCTCCTCTAACTCTTATATTTTTCCAAGAGAAAAATTTAGAGATCTTAACCTATCCTCGTATGACAACTTTCCATTACACGTGTCATCCTATTAGCAGTTTTCTAAACCCTTTCCAATATTTCAACATCCTTCCAAAGGTAAGAAGCACAATAAAGAACACAGTACTCTAAATGTGGCCAAAACAGTGATCTATACAATGAAATTATAACCTATCGAGACTTGTATTCAATATTTCTATAGACAACCTAAAATTCTATTTGCCCTGCCATTATCAGCAGCACATTCTTGGATGGATGGAAAATCTATGAACCAAAACACCAAAATATTTTTATTCCACAATTGGAATAATGTCTATAATTCCTATCAAAATTATAGTAATTATTCAAATTGTGATATCCCACATGCATTACCATACACTTGTTATAATCAAAAGTCACCTGCTATATATTCACCTAACTGAACAAATAATCTAAACCCTTTTGTAAACTAATAACCTCCTCCTAAAGGCTCTAAAATCGAGCCATGAAATACCCGATTCGTGACATTAACCCAGTTTGACTGAACTCCATTTATAACATCTCTTCCAGCTCTTTCTTTCATGTGCATATAAAATGTAACGAATTTGTTATTATACATTTATTTTAATATCCACGTTTGTTTAAATTAAATTTATATTTAGAAACATACTATTGCGTCAGCGAGGTCACGTGACTAGTATCACGCCACCTCTTTCTAGAAATATCCTGTTCCTTCAAGAATGCTCTAGC